CCCTTCCCTTCCCTTCCCTTCCCTTCCCTTCCCTTCCCTTCCCTTCCCGGCGGCACCTTCGTCCCTGTGGGAGCCGGGCAAACACGTTGCCCTGTTCAAACAGGCTTCCTCGGCGAGTACAGTCATCCCTTTTGCTTCCAACAGGTGAATCAGATCCAAAAGACAGTCATAGAGCCGCTGAAAAAGTGAGTACCGGCGCCGCGGCGTGAGCCATCCCGAGGGTTTGTCACCGCCGTGTTGCCCAGGGCCGGGATCAGGGCAGGAGATGGTGCCAGGGCTGCGGGTCGTCCTAGCTCATTCCCGGCCTGCGGGATCGCTCCGCTCGTTGTTTCGTGGCCTGGCTGGGGTGAGGAGGGACAGTCCCGTTAGCCAAGGCCAAGGGCGGGCGCCCCGGGGTGTGCGTGAGCGACACGGAGCGCGCCGGAGCGTCCCCTCCTCTCCCTCTGTGTGCGTGGCGCTTCCAGCGGCCGCGCTGCCCCTCGCCGGGCAGAGCCCCGCTCCTTGGCGGGTTGACTGGTGGCAGAAGAGAAGCACAGAGCTGTTTCTTTACCGCCACCCTGCCCAGCTGGCACTGCCGATCCTGGGAAAATTCCAGGGGAGAATAGCGCACCTCGGCGGCTTGCGGACACCGCAGAGGGTGGCCGCCTCGTCCTGGGCACCCGTGTCCGTGTTTTGCCCTGTCCCCAGGCGGCACGGGGCCTTGCCGGCTGTCACAGCTCAGGCCTCGGCCCGCCGCGGTCTTGTCACCTCTGGTGACGATTTGTCACCATCTGCACCATGTCCCCGTGCGGGTCCCGGGCTGCGCCCGCGGAGCCGGGAGCCTCTCGGCCGCTGCACCGGCGCCGCCTGCAACCCCCCGCTCTGCTGTTCGGTTAGCAGGAACAGAACGAGGCAGCGAAAATAAAATAAAATGACTCTAATATGACAGTAAGTGTTGCAAATTGCTGAATAACAATTTTAGCTTAGGTCTGACATCGGGTGTTTTTTTGTTTTCTTTTTTTAAGTTGTTGTTTCTGCCCGAATCTGAAAGTCAAATCTCCTGTACCCACTTAGCACATGAGGTTACACTGCGTTTCTATCAGGGGAATGTTTGGTGACTCCAGTTTTACTTTGGGTCTCCATCCATGACAAGAAATTCCTGATTATTTAAAA